TAAAAGGTATTACAGAATGTAAAGCAGGTTCCACTGATTATTATCTTTTAGAAAGCACTTTTTTTCTTTAAGTCTCCTTTATTGTGAAATGCTATATAATTACAATTCCATTGTACAGCATGCTATTAAAATAAAGCACTTTATATAAATAGGTTTTAACAAAAGAATGTAAGATTATATTTAAACATTTTAATAATCAAAAAGCTTAATAGTTTTAGAATTTTTTATAATTAAAAATAAACTAGAAACACTCCTTCATTTTACAGAGAAAGGTAAAGCTTAGAAAAATTAAGTGACTCCCCCAAAAAGAGAATTATATAAGTACTGGGGATATAAACCTAAACAAGATGTGTAGTCCCTATATCCACTCTAATTAAGGTAAAGCAAAATAGTGCTATCATGAGAGAGAAGCTTTGCCACATATTAGAATTCTGGTTCAAGTATATACAAGTCACTCCTACTGGGAAAATTGAAAATAATAGTTAACAAAAAAACAAAAGACCAGATAATACAGTCAAGACAGCAAATAAGAAGGAAAGAACTGTAGAGGGATATAGTCAGCTGGTAGAGTGCTTGCCTCCCATGCACAAAGCCCTGGGTTCAATCTCCAGCACTACCAAAAAAAAAAAAAGAAGAAGAAGAAGAAGAGCAAGAAGAAGGAAAAAAAACAATGGCTCATAATTTCACTGTTATATCTATTCATAGGCAAATGCTTGACATGCTGTTATAGGAATAAAGGAATAAAATTAGAAAGACACTAGACATCTGGTGTAACATCAGACACAGTTCTCCAAGCATACAGGTGTAAATGTAAGCACAAAAGTTCACCAAGAGGCAGGCAGTGATTTGCCCCTAGTGAACAAATTACCTTTCTAAAACAATGTGAATTTTACAGTCAACAGAGATTCTGCAGTCTCTGTAGCTCAAGGAATAGTTAAAAAAAAAAAAAAAAAAGATTAAATTCCCTTGTCTATTTGTTGTGCTTTGTTATTGGTTTAACAAATCTTTATTAATTGTATGACTGTTGAAAACCATTAGGAGTTCTTATAAATTTGTAACCTCAGTCTACCCTGCCACAAGTAAATCCCACCAATCAAGTACTCTTTTAGGTAGTAAGTACCAACTGGGGCTATAGCTCAGTTGGTAGAGTGCTTGCCTTACACGCACAAGGCCTGTTTTCAATCCTCAGCACCACAAAAAAAGAAGAAAAGAAACAAACAAACAATAAGTACATATATTTAAGACCATATATGTTGACACATATATGTGTATAAACGTATATATTGTCTCTGTGTGCTTATAAAGGGAGGGTAAAGTGATAGAAAGTGACCATTGGGTTTAGAAGTTCTGAGAAGTAGTGACCTAAATGAAGTGAGGAAGAAGGAATATTGTGAAGAAATCTGCCACACATATAGCTGGAAGAACAGCAAATACAAAGGCCCTGAGATGAGCATTATTTCATGTTTGAAGACCAGCCAAGAACTAGAGTGGCCAGGCCCAGAACAGAGTAGAGATAAGATCAGAGAGTTATGAGCAGGAACTTGATCATATAGGGTTTGGTATGCTCTGGGTCAGATATTATTCTGAATGAACTGGGGAACCATGGGAGCAGAGCAGTGTTGTAGATTCATTTATATATTTTAAAGCTCGTTCTGGCTTCTGTCTCCAGAACTTATTTCAGAAGGGCAAGAAGAGGAGCAGAGACACAAGCTGGGAGGTTATAGTAAAAGCCTAAACAAGAGGGAATAGTATTTTAGATTTGGAGGTGATAGAGAAACTACTGATAGTTGGATATGGGGAATATCTGGATATTGAGTATATGGAAAAAGAAAAGCCACAGAAAGATGTTTTAAGAGGGGCTGGGGTTGTGGCTCAGTGGTAGAGTGCTTGCCTAGCCACATGCAGGGACCTGGGTTGGATCCTCAGCACCACATATAAAGAAAATAAAGGCATCGTATCCAACTACAACAATAACAACAAAAAAGATGTTTTAAGGATAAAAATTAAGTTGTACAATAATTATCCTGCCAAAGGAATTTTCAGAATTACAGCCTGTTGGCTCTCATCTCCATGCTCAACCTTCCACAGCATCCTCTTCTGAACTGTCAAGAGGCTAGATGTTTGTAAGGCATGTTTCCTGGCCCTACCCGCACCCGCAAGCTGGGAAGTTAATGTCTGCCAGTGGAAACTGATGGCAAATTATTAATAGGCAGGAAAAAGTGAAAACCCACTTTCTTCCTGTTTCTGCTCTGACACAGCCTCTGTAAACTGTGAACTACTCCAACTTTCAGCTTAATGGTGGGACGATTGCCCAGCATGCCTGAGGCCATGGGTTCATTCTTCAGTACTGCCAAGTGCATGGGGGTGGGGGGAACATGCATACTATGGAGAAAACATTTAATCTATTCTGTCAATTTAAAATTAATAACATTTTGATTTTGAGTGGTACTGGGGATTGAACCAGAACCTCACACATGCTAGGCAAGTGTTCTACCCCTGAGCTACATTCTCACTATCTCAATTGCCCATTCTCCTGCCTCAGCCTCCCAAGTAGCTGGAATTACATGCATGCACCATTATCAAATCAATAACTTATAAGATGTTTAAATCTAAAGATCTTTTAATTTCAAGAGAAATCAAGGGTACTAAATATTGTTCTCTAAATCAATAAAGGCAAAAAGAAAACTAATAACTGGAACAATTGGTATAAAATATTAGAGATAAAGCCACTAAACTCAAAGAAGATAGTAGAAAATCTTCATGACCTTGAATTTGGAAGTGAATTTCCATAGGTATGACAAAAAAAAAAAAAGAAAAAAGAAAAACTGGACTTTACACTTCATCAAAATTTAAAATGTTTGTATATCAAAGCACAATATCAAGAAAGTGAGAAAGAGCTAGGTGCAGTGGTACACACCCATAATCCCAGCAGCTCAGGAAGCTGAGGCAGGAGGATCACAAGTTCAAAGCCAGACCCCTGTAATTTAGTGAGGCCCTGAGCAACTTAGGAAACCTTGACTCAAAATAGAAAATAAAAAACGGGCTGGGGATGTGTCTTATTGCTTAAGCACCCTGGGTTTAATTCCTGGTGCCAAAAAAAAAGCAGGGATGGGTAAAAAAGAGAGGTTGGGCAGGTAGTTTAGTGGTAAAGCATATAGTTATAATAATATAATAATAATATACTTATCATGTATAAGGCTCTGGGTTCAGTCCCTAGCACAGAAAAAAAGAAAAGAAAACCTACAAAACAACAGATACTATTTGCATATTATTTATTGGTAAGGGTTTAATATTCAGAAGATATAAAGAACTAAAAATATACAACTCAACAACAACAGAAAAAAACTTTTAAATGGACAAAGGAAGGTTGGAGGTATGGATGGGTGTAGAGAGCTTGCCTAGCACATATGAGGTCCTGGTTCAATCCCCACCATTGCTAAAAAACAAACAAACAAACAAAGACAAAGGAGATGAGCAAGAAAGGAAGAGTCTGTAATTCCAGCTGCTCAGGAGGGTGAGACAGCAGAAGGATCCTAAGTTCCAGGCCAGCCTCAGCAATTTAAAAAACCCTGTTTCAAAATAAAATAAATAAATAAATAAAAATGGCTACAGATGCAGCTCAATGGCAATGGCAGAATACCCCTAGGTTCAATCCACAGTACTGAAAAAAAAAAATTTTTTAATAAATAAAAATGGGAAAAGTACTTTAATAGACATCAATGGTATAAGAGCAAAAGATACAGAAATGGCTAATAAGCACAAGACTCTCAAGTGCATTATCATAAGGCAAATGAAAATCAAAACCAAAATGAACTACCACTTCACTCCTTTCATAATCCAAAAAAAAAAAAAAGCAATTTCATGGTTCTTCAAATAGCTAAACACAGAATTATCACTTGATCAGCAACTCCACCTTAGTATATATTCAAGAGAATTAAAAACAGACACTCAGATACTTAATCATGTTGATTTGCCTGAAGCTAAAATCTGGATTACAATTAAAATAATATATAATTTCATCCTTAATATGTTGACTGAAAAAAATTTTAAGATTGAATTCACTAAGAATAAAAAATTAATGTAGTAATTGACAATATAATTATTGATACACTTACTATAGACAGCTATTTACTGCTTCAAAATTTATTACATGACAGCTATATTGATTAAGCTTTTGGAAAATAAACGAGATATTTAACACATTTTTAGAAAGTTTATAAAGCAATTTCATGACATTCCAAATGCAATATAAACCCTCACTCTTGAAGGATAAATGCCCTCAGACCTTAAATACACATATAAATAGTTCAAAGATTACAGTACTCTTTTAATATTGGTAGTTAATTAGATAAAAGGGATATATTTGGAAGTATCTTAAGAGAAACAGCTAAATTTAAAATGAGTTTCTACTTCTTTATTTTTAAATTTAAAACTAGCATAAAGGGGGGAGGGTGGATGATGGGAAAGGCAGCGGAGCACAACAGACACTAGTATGGCAATTTGTAAATCAATGGATGTGTAACTGATGTGAATCTGCAATCTGTGTATGGGGTGAAGGTGGGAGTTCATAACCCACTAGAATCAAAGTGTGGAATATGATATGTCAAGAAATTTGTAATGTTTTGAACAACCCACAATAAAAAATTAAAAAAAAAAAAAAAAAAAAAAAAAAAAGAATGACAAAACTAGCATAAAAATAAAAAAAAAATTTAAATAAAAAAAATTTTAAACTAGCAAAGACAGAAATTAAAGGGAAAAAATTAGCTTTAATCAAGGATGTCCTTCATTAATAATAAGTTCCCCATATTGGGATGGGAAATATAATACGGGCCCTTTCTCTCTCCCTCACCCACACACAGACACACTGAATATTTCAGATCCACCCAACTAAAAAGCTGTTGCTCAAAGTCACCAAATTCAATGTTGTTCGTTTCACAAAATACTGCCAAACCCAAGAAATGTACTAAATAATGATCATAGTGACACCTACTGACACTTACTGTGTGAAAATTTATCATTTCTTGAAGACTGTCAGAAAATTTGGTCAAACTTGTCTACAAGAAAGAAACCAAAAGAAAATCAAGTCATTTAAGAGTCATAAAAATAGTCACAAAAACTGTAACTTTAAGCATTCCTCACAGAAAGATTGAGTTACACTGTAAATAATAACATTTACTTCCAAGGACAATCTTATGTGTAGACTCATAGCTCATAAGTATGCTCTGAGTCTACACGTAATAACATATAAAACCTAAAAAAGTCAAGGAATTGGAGTTGCCCCATCAATGGTATGAATAACCCTAAAGGTAAACTTGTTTGAGGGTATCAAGACTGCCCCTTTAAGCATTTATGGATCAAATAATAATCAAACCACATCCATTTCTTCTCTAGTTATTATTAGTCATGAAAGAAATGTAACACTGTACAGTGTTGTGGGGATCCAAACTAATCAGAAGCTATACAGCCCCCAAGCATAGAGTCAAGTTTTGTTTGTGGGATAACATTCTCTGCTTGCACTTACAAGCAACTAAAGTGATTCTGCTGTCCCTACTCATGCCCTCTGGCAGATGCTTCAGCTCACCTAGCAGCAAGCAGACTTAGTAAATGCCAAAACACTGCAAAGCTGAGTTAGGAGACAGATACCAGATATGCACAAAGCAAATCAACCTTTAAGGGCTAGCTTAGAAAACAGGATTACATTACACAGCACCAAAGGATGACAGCTTTTTGACTTCAAATCTTAAGTACCACCTTAAGTATCAGCGTAATTATTAATATGGTAAATGGGTATATAATTATGTTTTGTTGCATATGTCACATTAAAATGTAACCATACTAACCTCAACTACAGCATCATTACTAGAATACTGTGCTAGGTCTCTAATCCCATTCATGAACTGTTTATTTGCAACACAAAAGGCTTTTCCAGTATCAATCATGGCAATACAAAGCTTCACAAGCTGAAAAAGAAAAAAAAAATTACATCAGGTTGAAAATAATTTTACAAATTACTTTGTTGAAAAGTGTTGGCAAAAACCACAAGTTAACCTAGCTAAAGACAGGAAATAAACTAATACTTCATTAATACAACTAAAACAGACAGACTGAATTTTTTTCTTATTTTCCTTTGGCTTATAAATTCACAGAAGAGGTGAACCAAAAAATTCAATCTTTAGGACCTAGAGGTTATCTGATAAAACAACAACAATAAAAAGATCATTTTATCAAGTCACATTCGATCCCATAAATTAATTTATTAAGTTCCTCCTAAAAGAAAGAAAGAGGTAAGCAAGCAGTGTGATGAAAAGTAATCTCTTTTTTATTTTTAACTGTGGTGTGTTGGAGGAAAGGTGAGTTAAACTGGTATGGTGGGTTAGTCATGCCTACTGTTCTGGGCATTGTGCTGAGCCTCAGGACGGATCCTTCCTGCCTGTGTGTGTGTGTGTGTGTGTGTGTGTGTCTCCCTCCCTCCTAATTTCCTTCCTTTCATTTTTCCTTCCTCTCTCTTTTTCCCCTTCCTCCTTTCTTTCACTCGGACACAGAACATTTTCTTTAAGCAAAATCTTGGATGAATGTCAAATATTAAAAATAAATAAAAATGGAACTGCTCTGGATAAAGAAGGGGCAGATACTGAAAGGGGTAGGAAGGAGGAACACCAAGCATAAAAAGTAAGAAAAATGTTTTACAAAACTCATGAAGAATCTCAAGAGCATAATTTAAATCCACTGCCCTAATGTTGAGAGGAAGAGAGTTAATGTAATCTCTGCTTTCAAGGAGCTCTAATTCTAACCAGCAGGCAAGCAGATCAACTCCACAGAACAGACACCAGTGCAACGACAAAACCAAGAACATCCCAAGGAAAAACACCTGACTTGAACTGTGTAGATCAGGAAGAATTCTTAGAAAAGATAGCACTAGATATTGCTGAACTTTTAAGAGTTTACGTTGGGGAGCGGGGCATTGCTGGGGATCCATCCCAGGTCTCATACATACCAGGCAAGTGTTCCACCAATGAGCTACACCCATACCCCAAAGGCTCTGATATATTAATGTGCATCTAAAAGATGCATTTCTCAAAATGATTTGACCATGAAATTCTCTTTAAAGGAAACATTCCCATAGAACCAGTGTTCCACAGAACCCACAGTAAGAAATGCTGGCAGGGCTGGGGATTAAGCTCAGTAGTATAGCACTTGCCTAGCATGTGTGAGGCCCTGGGTTTGATCCCCAACACTGCAAAAAGAAAAAAGAAAAGAAATGCTGACAGAGATAAGTCTTTAAAATGGTGTGTTATTTAAAAAATAAAATATCTTACAAGGAAAACAATCTAAAGTTCACAAGGAACGACCAACACACAGTGGAAAAAATTTTTTTGAAAAAGTAATAAAATGAGAACATTAGCCTTATATGACATTAAAATATATTACAAAATATAGTAACTGGAAGCCTAGTATATTCCTAGATCAATGGAATATAATACAGATCAATGGAATATAATACAGAGTCAAGTATTATATTATATTATATGAAGTATTTGATTAAAGTAATATTCTAATCAGTGCCAAGGAGGGGGCAGCAGGTGATTATCTAAAAAATGACATTAGGGGCCCTGGATAGCCAAGGAATCAAAATCCTCAAATTAAATTCAGATGGAATAAAGATTTAAACATAAAAAGTGAAATCACAAAACTAAGGTAAAATAGAAGGTGTTTTTTAATATAATCTCAAACTGTGAAAAGTTTTTCTGAAAAGGATACAAACCTCAAAATCCATATGAAAAAGAAATTGATAAATTCAAGTGATAAAAATAAAATATCTATAAAAGAAAAAACAATTAACTTAGTCAAAAGACAACAATATGGGAAAATAATATTAGCAACAAATCCCAAGGGACTAATTATCCTACCATAAGAAAGGATATATATTTTGAAAGCATTCTGAAAACCCAATCATACTGTAGGGGGAAAAAAATGGGTCACGGACATGCACAGATAATTCCCAAAAAGGACATACAAATGTGTCTTAAATCCATGAAAAGATATTCAATCTCACTCATATTAAAGAAATGGAAATTACCATTTTTTACAAAACTAAGATCAAAAAGTTTGATAACAGGCTGTTTTTAGAGATGGTAGATAAGGGGAAGTAGACATTTTTATACATTGTTAGTGGGAATATAAATTGGTAACATTTCTTTGAGAAGTAATTTAGCAACAACTGTCAAAATTTAAAACAAACTCTCTAGTCTGGCAATTTCACTTTTTAAAATGTATCATACATATTTGCACATAAGCCACAAGACACATCTGAAGCAATGCATTGCAGTCATGATAAAAATATCAGTTGCTAGATCAAGTGTCCATCAGTAAACAATTGGATAAACAAATTATAACGTATCCATATAATATAATAAAATTCAGCCATAAAAAATTTGGTCAGGGCAGGAGTATAGCTCCCCCAGTGGTAGAGCACTTACCTAACATGTACACAGCCCTGGGTTCAATCCCCAGCACCAAAAAGAAATAAAAAAAGGAAACAGGGAGAGCTTTATGATTAATAACAAATAGCATTCTGTTAGAGTCTGTAAACAAGTCAAAATAACACCTGGCATTTTGCCAGGGGAATGTTAGAGTTCGTAAACAAGTCTGGATGGTGCCTGGCAAAATGCCAGAGGGAGTGGTTTGAGAAGTAACAAAAGCAAGCCATTAAGTGTGGAGATTCCTTATTGGTTGACTGAAGCTGTGTGGAATGTATAAATACTGCTCCTGTCCTGCAATAAACGGCTCCTGCTGTATCAATCTACACAAGTTGTTCGTCACAACCCCACCCCCACCCCGCTATTTTGCCCAGCCAGCCGGGCTGCGGCAGCATTCGAAATATATTAAGGAAAAAACAAAATGTAACACAGTATTAATATTTTTGTGGGGAGTGGAAAGAACCATTTGTACGGAAGAGTGCAAATCTATATAATTTTCATATGCTTAGAAAATTTCTGTAAGGACACACAAGAAACTAGGTCAGTATATTCCCCTAGCAAAGAGATTAGAAGATGATTAATTTTCACTGGTACACACTCTTTTACCTTTGATTTTTTTACTAGATAGATGTTATTACTTATTCATCAAATTAAATAATTCAAAAGTAATTAAAATTCCTTTTCCCATAACAGCAGAGAGAGACAGATTAATAGACAAGGTTAAAAGACAAGGTTCTCAGCTCAGTCTTCTTAGGTTCAAATCCTGTTGCCATACATAACCATCTAAGTGCACCTGGTTGACCTAAACCTCAAAAAACTTTAATTTTCTTTTCTGTATAATACTTAATGATGGTACCACATCATATTAGGTTGCTATAATAAGGTAAGATAACACTCATAAAGACTGAAGCACAGCTGGTGCAGTGTTCTGGAGGCTGCAGAAGATGAGGCAGTAGGATCAGAAGTTCAAAATCAGCCTCAACAATTTAGAGAGAATCTGTCTCAAAATTTAAACAAATAAAAAGGACTGGAGATGTAGCTCAGTGGTAATGTGCCCCTGGGTCCAATCCCCAGTACCAAACAAAACCAAAACAAACAACAACAACAAAATTTGGCATGAAGTATTACAGGCACATGGTAAGTACTCAGCAGAGATTTGTGCTTCCTTGTCAGAGAAGTTATTTGCTTTTATTTTGTTTTTACTAAGAAACCAAGTTGAGCATCTTCATTTAAGATAAAGAGGTGGTAGAGAAGGGATAGAAGAGAGATGGCTAAAGCAAAATGCTGAAGAGGTAGAGAGTTTTAAATTGCATAGGAAAAGGTATACTTTTATTACTCCAGTGGGAAGAAAAATGAAAAAGACATGAACAGATTCTAAGTTTCTAGATAAGGAACAAGAAATAAATATATTCCCATCCAAGCAGAATAATGGTCATTCCACTAAGAATGAAGAACAAAGTAGTAAACCTTGAGAAAATAATTAAGTATTAAAGAGAACTACCAAAGGTAGCAAGAAAGGGACTTGACAGGGTTTTAGAAAAATAGTTTTGCATATAGAATTTGAGGAACCTGTGGCTCCACCAATTGGATTTGACAGTTATATAAAGTCTCCTATAGGGCTTTATTAGCCCAGATATGGGGCAGAAAGTCATACTCAAGACAGTGAAAATTCTGCTGAGCATGGTGGCATGCACCTACAGTTACAGCACTCAGGAAGCTGAGGCAGGAGGACCACTTGAGCCCAGGAGTTCGAGAATAGCCTGAAAAATGCAGCAAGATCCTATCTCAAAAGGAAAAGAGAGAGAGAAAGAAGGAATGAACTCTGTAAGGGAAATGAAGGTCTCCAAAGAGGGGAAAAAATAATGTAAAACTAAGAAGGGAATGAAAGGATTAATAACAGCATTATTCACAATGGCCAAGAAAGAGAAACAAACCAAATGCCCATCAATTGATACTAGATAAACAAATGTGGTATAAAACAGCATATAATACAACCATAAAAGGAAGTACTGATACATGCTACAATATTGATGAACCCTAAAAACATTACATTAAGTGAAAGCAGCCAGTCACAAAAAGCCAAATATTATGATTCCATTTATAGAAATGTCCAGAAGATCAATACACTTCTTTTTATACCTAAATAGTACTGTAGGATTATTGGACATTGGATTGTTTCCACTTCAGCTATTACGAATAATGCTGCTGTTGTGACCATCAATGTAAGTTTTGTGTGGACGTATGTTTTCGATACCCTTGAGAATATACTTAAGAGAACTGCTGGGTTATATGGGTATCTGTGTTTAATTTTTGAGGAGCCACCAAAATTATTTTCCAAAGAGGGTGCAGCATTTTGCATCCCCAGCAACAATGTATGAGGGTTCCACCATTTCCAAACCCAAACTAAGACTTTTATTATTATTTTAACTATCCCATGGGTATGAAAGGGTGAAGTTGTATTTCATTGTGGTTTTCATTAGAATCTCCCTAGTGACTATTAGTATATTTTCATGTGTTTATTGGCCATCTATATAATCTTCTTTTAAAAAAAATGTCTATTTAGATCATTTTTCCATTTTAAAACTGAGTTATTTTTTCTTTTTATTATTGAATTTTAGGAAATCTTTATAATAATCCCTTATCATATATCTGATTTGCAAATATTTTCTTCATTCTATGAGTTATTTAATTTTCTAACAGTGTTCATGAGAGCACAGAAGCTTTTGTGTTTGATCTAGTTTTACATATTTGCTTCAGTTTTTGGTATAAAAAAAAATCTAAGAAACCATTGCTTAACCAAGTTTAAAATGATCTTTGCCTGTTTTCTTCTAGGAGATTGGAAGTGTTAGGTTTTTCCACTTCGAATTAATTTTTGTATATTGTGTGAGGTATTCAGCTTCCTTCTTTCTTTCTCTTTCTCTCTCTCTCTCACTCTCTCCATTTAAATTTTCAGTTGTTCCAATATTGTTAGTTAAAAAAACAAGTCTTTCTCAAAAAAAGAAAGAAAAACTATTCTAAAAAACTAAAAAAAAAAAAAAAGAAATGTCCAGAAGAAGCAAATCCACAGAAGTTGCCAGAGAATGAAAGAAAGGGATCACTAATTGAAACTTAGTGTTAACAGATACAGGGTTTCTTTTTGGGATACCAGAAATATTTTGGAATTACACAGTGGTGATAGTTGCGCCAATAACACCAGGACTATACTAAAAAACACTTTGAAATGGTGGATTTTATGTTAGATGAATTTTATCCTTTTTTTTAAAGAATATTTATTTTTTAGTTTTTAGTGGATACAATATCCTCATTTTATATTTATATGGTGCTGAGGATCAAACCCAGTGCCTCATGCATGCTAGCTAGGCGAGCACTCCACCACTAAGCCACAACCCCAGCCCAGATGAATTTTATCTTAATTTAAAAATTACCAAAAAAAAATGTTGCAGTGGATTTCAGAAGGATCTGAAATATCCCAAGTAGACTGATTGAAAGACCAGAAGTCTAGGTAAGGTTGAAGAACAGAAGCAGTAGTGAGGTTGAGAAGTGGAAGGACTGGAGACTCAAGTGAGACAGGCTATCAGAATTCCAGATTTCAGAGATTACAACTATGAATGATGAGCCATAGAATAGTGCCGTGAAAATAGGGATCAGAACTAGCATAGGAGTCACCACCACAGGAGCCAGAGAGAGAGAAAACTGACAGAAGCAGAACCACCCGCACCCTGCAAATATCCAGAGATGGTAGTGGTGAATGAGATTATAACAAATAATCTAATTTACCTAAGAGTAAATGTCAAGATAATCAAAATTATCAAACTACTACCCTAATTCATTATTCAACAATTTTTCAATAAGACTTTACAATGTCATAGACACTTTGCCAGATGACAGGAATACGAACAACTTCTTTGCTATCTCTGAGTTGTAAGTAACATCCTAACACTCATTTTTTCATCTGTAAATTGAAGATGCTACCAACTTTGCAACACTGTTATGGAGATTAGGGACAGCATGAGTAAACATAGGACTTTGTGCCTAGTAAGTACATAATAGATGAGTTTTGGTTGCTTTTTTTTTTCTTCTAAAGACAGTCCCAATTTCCAATAAGCTAATAGTTTGTTAAAGAGACACCATCATCTTTACTGTTTATTTAGAATTCAACACGTACCAAGAACCATGTTAAGTACTTTATGTGTATTAACTCACCTCACTCTCATAATAACCCGATAGAAAGATTGAGAAGCCTGCCTACTAAATGGTAGAGCTACTTTCAAACTCAGGCAGCCCCTGACCTTGTTTTCTTAACTACTAGACTCTGCTACAAATGAAAAATTACAATAATATTTTAATAGTTTAAATGGAAGTACATGTGAGAAACAATGCAATACAAAAAAGAAAAAGAAAAGAAAAGAGCCAAAGTTTGGTAGCATTGGAGCTGAGGTTTAAAGGATGTCCAATTAACAGAGAGGAAACAAGCATACCAGAGGAAAAAATGCAACAGATATGGGAATTATATCTAGATAGCAACTATGATGCACTATAATGTTACCTTACAGAATGGACAGGTAACTGGACCCAATAAACAATGCCACTCATCAAGCATTATTCTCTAGAAAGAATATAACTACTGTTAGTATATGTTATAAGCAAAATAGATACGAGCTAAGTCACCAAGCTAGTTCAACCTGTCACTATTATTTACAATGATACTTTAGGTGGAACTTGCCTTGCACAAAGTTATGAAATCACTGAACTAGTCTTGGAGCACCTTCCAGAGCACAACTTCCCCATTACTCCTTCAGTGCCACCAACTTTAATAACAACCATATAACAACCAATAACAACCATATCTTGGTTCTCTCAGTCTCCCTTCTTTATGCCAACTCTGCATTTATAAAGTAAAAATGATAGTAGCTTAAGAATCCAGGAGAAGTACATTTTATAAGGGATCAAAATCTTAAACCAGAGAAACATAAAAGTAACTAAAGAAATTTTGGTGGAGAGAGGAGAGGGAAAGGTGATATTTTAAATAATGTCAAGTTTCTACCATGCCCTTAGTAGCCTTTTGGATAAGAATGCTAATGGGCTTAGCATTCTTAGCATTGAATGCCAATATTTTAATAATTTAGTTTAGTTATTATTTATTAGATTATTATTATTTAGAGTATTTTGGTTTTAAGATTCTACCAGTTTGCCTGAACCCAATCAAATGATATAAAGAAAAAAAAAAAGTCACTCACTCATAAAAGCAAAATGATTAACAAAAGCATTGTCAGTGGAATTCCACCCACATGCAATGTTTCGTATGATTTATATGCAGTTCTTCTACTTAAAAAGGATAATCACCTTCATTATACTACTCTGTGATTCTCTGAAAAGCCTTGCCTTTCTATATACCCTCTTGTAAATCTACCACAAAATCAAAACTACACACATTGCATAAACCACTAGAATGGAATCCTAATTAGAATTAGTTACACTCCATATGTGTATAATACGTCAAAATACACTCTGCTGTCAGGTATCCCTAAAAAGAACAAATTACAAAAAGAAGAAAAAAAAACTCATTGGAAAAAAAAAAATCAAAACTACAACTTAATACTATTGTCTACTTTAAAAACTGAAAACTTTACTTCAAAAAGTACTTCAAAAAAATGTAACTCCTCAGAGTAAAAACAAAAAATAATAATAATAATAATAATAATAAAAGGCCCATACAAATACATTTTATTGTTTTTTGTTTTTGTGGTTCTAGGGATCGAACCCAGGGTCTTGTACATGCAAGGCAAGCACTCTACCAACTGAACTACATCTCCAGCCCTACACATACATTTTCAATAGAAAATATTTTAAAATAATATACTTAGTCAAAATAAAAATATTTATTTTTAAAACAAAAGGAAGCTTGCTACTCCTGCCACTCTTCTCAGAAATTTCTAAGTGGCCTGTGCTCCCTCAAAATACACAGATCCTGAAGCACAGTGGTGCACAAGAAGAGCACTGAACTAATAATAGAAGCACAGGAGTTCTAACCCTCTTTCTGCCTCTTTTAACTTTCAATTTGAAGCAAGTCTCCTTTGCTTTCTGGGATTTGGTATTCTCATCTATAAAATGGGAAAAAAGAATACTTGTTCCACCTACCTCACAGAATTATTGTAAAACTCAAAGACACTATATATTACAGTGCTGTAAAAATAACAGAATCTAATAAAAACTAACATTATTAAAATTTTCCAAAGGCAGGAGGATCACAAGTTCAAGGTCAGCTTCACCTAACTCAGTGACACATTGTCTCAAAATTAAAAACTAAAATTATTTAATTTTTATAATATTACTGCTTTACATAGTTTCTATACTATCTACATTGTATGTTAATGTAAATATTTCATGATTTTTAAAACATTTCAAAATGTTTCTCACAATACTCGGCCTAATTAATATGTATCATACTCTTCCTATTCAAAGTGCAGTTCATATGCCAATATCCATAGGCATAACTTTGAATCTAGTTAAAAACACAGAATCTCAGTATCCCTGATCTATTGAATCAGAATCTATGTTTTTAAAAAAGATTCCCCTGGTGATTCTTATGCACAGTACAGGGTAAGAAGCAATACTTCACATAGCAATACCACTTATAATAATAATTACACAAAGTATTTTCAAAAAAAGAATTTCAAACATATGCATAGACTTATGTCTAGAAATTTACAGAAATATTTCTCTGAGCAATAGTTGCAAAAGAATGTTCCAACAAATAGATCAAAAGCCCCATCTTACTCATTCTAATATTTTTGCCTGGTACATAACAGACAATGCTTCTTGGACAGAAATTCAAAAATATTATCAATAGTTAATACAGAAGGTGGGAGTCAATGTACATTTATACTTATATAAAACATAACTATATCAATTATTAAGTATTTTTAGCATTTGTGTCATTAGCTTAAATATGAAATTACTATTTTAAATTTTATTTATATTTGAACCCAGCTGTACCTAAATTTATAAATAAGAATGGTCATGGGCTAAGGTTGTGGCTCAGCAGTAGAGCACTTGCCTAGCACTTGCGAGGCCCTGGGTTCGATCCTCAGCACCACATAAAAATAAATAAGTAAAATAAAGATATTGTGTCCGTCTACAACTAAAAAAAAAAAAAATTAAAAAAAAGAATGGTCAGGTAATACACGAAATCCATTAGGCATTAAAAAAGATACATGCGATCTTTTAGATGGAGAAAACAGGAATAAACTTCTAACCATATAAAAGTTGTTTAGTGAACTTTGAATTCAGAGAATATAAATTCTTCCCTGGCACTTAAGACTCTGAACAAGCAAGCCAATTAATATCTCTAGCCTTAATTTCTTCATGTGTAAAATTACAATAATGGAATTTACTCTTATAGAGAAACAAAGTAATGTTCTTATTAATGGAAAACAAAAATAGATACTTTAAAAAATTAAAAACGTTAAATTCACCTTATCGAGTTTTAGTTCCAATTCTGCCACATCTCCTTCTACTTCTTCCAAAGCAGCCCTAGAAAAATTAAATGCAAAATTAAGTTATTTTATTGTTCAAATGTATACTTAACTCTTGAAAAATAACTTATCACTCTAAATAAAAAGGTAGATATTAATGTTTAAAAATTATACTTCACAGCTGGGTGCAATGGTACACATTTATAATCCCAGCCACTCAGGAGAGTAAGGTAGGAAGATCACAAGTTCAAGGTTAGCTTCAGCACTCAGTGACACACTATCTCAAAATTAAAAACTAAAAAGGGCTTGGCATGTAGCTCAGTTGTACAGCATTCCTGCGTTTAATGCCCAGTATTGAAAAGAAATTATACTTTAATGAAGTAATATTAGAATATATACTTCATAATAATGCAATAAAACAAACATAATCATTATTTAAGACAGTGAGATAATATCTTAAACTGATTTATTCAAAGCATTGTTATTCAATTAATAACACTAATTAAAACTATTTAGCATATTTTTTGAAATATGAATAAAAGTTTATAGGCCAGATGCTGGAGCTAGAAAGAATACTAACCAAATAAAATCACCAAAAATTTTGCCTCCAAAAAATTTAATTAATAAGAGATTTTTGGAAGTTGAGCCTTGAATCAGATTTCTAGACAAGAAAGTACATGTAACCAAATGGCGAAGCATCATTGACAACCAAAGGGGCACTTTTTTTTAGAGATAATTAAGAAAAATATGACTTCATAATTTTGATTCCAAAGTATTACAGTTTCAAAAACTCAGCACCAAACATTGATAAATTTTAGACTAATCCTCTCCTAACAACATAATTTCAATACAGAAAAATTAGCAAAGATCAGATTATGCAAAAAGCAAAAAAAAATAATAATAATCAGATATTCTTCTTGACAAAAGGCAACAATGAACTATAATACTAGTTAGCACTTGACAGATATCACACTACAGGGCAACATTCCAAAATTGGAAATCTGTTTGAAGCAAAATAGCAGCAACTAAGACTTTGTAAGGACAAGAAGATTTTACACTAAAAGTAGTATATAAGAAAATATAATTCACCTACTTTAAATCATCTCTGCCATTTTTGTTCTCTGGGGTTCCCCCCCACCACCCCGCGGCTTGCAATGCTGGGGACTGAACCCAGGACCTTGCACACGTCAGGCAAGGTCTCTACTACTGAGCTCTACCCTAGCCCTAAGCCTTTTTCATATACTTACTTGACAAATAAGCAATATTCCAATTGCTATTTTAAGAATTAACCAAAATCTGTTTTAATTTAACAGTAGTGTGAGATTAGGTACCCAAAAAGCCATTGTGAATGCTAAGACATTCTCTGGCAACAGAGCTAAGTAAAAGACAAGTAAGATACCAACTTTATTTCCATAGCTACCCACTTCACCTCTGTGTGACCTCTGAATAATCAATAACTTTATCAGCTTGTGATTCTACTTCTCCATCTGGTTACATTATTTTTTAAAGATTTTAAATCTCCAAAATAAGAAAATAACTATAAATTATTCAGTAGAATGATGTCATTATAAAATGAGATACTCCAGCATTAGTTCCAGAAAGCAGGAGGTGGTGTGCCTCCACAGCACAGAAGCAGAAAGACTTCTCCCCTAACAGTTGGCCATTGTCTTCAGCAGTGTTTTACAAACTACACATTGTTCACTTAGCCTAGAAAACATTTCCCCTTCACTTTAATCCTCACTCCCTTCACCTACTTATCATTTAAACTTACTACACCTAAGAACAAATTTATCTGTACAAGGATATTTGCTGTTTTTAACAGGCTGGAAACCTAGATGTCCAACAATAGGAATATGTAAATAAATGATGGTGTAGCCCATTATATGAAGAAGCAAATTTTTAAATGAGGCTGATCTACATCTACAGATATGGGTACATGCACATGGTAGATTGTTACACAGGGGGAAAACAAATTACAAAATTACATGAGTCTGAGCCCAACTTTGTTAAAAAAAAAAACTGTTGAGATGGTTTTAGGGAAATATCTGGAAGCATATTTATCAATCTAACTCTAACTGGAAAAAAAGCATTAAAAAGTGTAAATAAGAATTTGCATTTTTACTACTTCTATACTGTATTGCTATTTTCAACAACTATGCATTTTTAAGTAATTTTTAAAACTTACAAACAAGGGAAGGAAATGAGTTCAGATATCACTTACCCAAGAAGGGTCTTCCCCCTTGTAACTTCTCCTGTCACCTACCCAAGTGGGATAACATACGCCCCTGTCCCTTACAACACATGGCACACATCTCTGCCACTGTGCGCTTTTCTCATCAGTCTGAGCTCCCATAGCAGTGCAGACACCCCCAGCGTTTGCTGAGTTAAGGAAGGAGCTCAACAAGTATTTACTTCAATTTTCAGAAACTCTTCACTTACATTTTTAACCTTTATTTATCTTGACTCATTCTTCCATTTTTCAAGCAAATTGGTTCAAATAACAGCTTAAGATTTGATTTAATGGAAGGGGGTGGCTGGGGTGTGGCTCAGTGGTAGAGCGCCGCCGGCCTAGCATGGGTTAGGCCCTGGGTTGGATCCTCTGCACCACATAAAAATAAATTAATTAATTAAAGATATTGTATCCAACTACAACTAAAAAATAAATATTAAAAAAAAGTTTTATTTAACCATTGGATTTTACTAAATAGTTTGATAGAAATTGTATGTACATTTTTCAACCTTATTTTTTTTAAGTATAATTTATTTATTTATTTATTTTTAATGTGGTGCTGAGGATCAAATCCAGCCGAGTGGTCTACCGCAACCCCAGCCCCTCAATCTTATTTCATTGTGCACTTCTGCTAATTTACTTTTGTGAGACAACAGTTGTAAAGAAAGGTGTGGTTTTACATACAACAGAAGAGAAAATGCCTGGGTTTTACCTATCACTTGAAAGCACAGGCCTTTGTATTTATATATTCAAAGAATCTGAAAGTTTATCTTGGAAGTTCTTCAATTCAACATACTACCTTCTCTTTTTGAAAAAAAAAAAAAAATCTTTTGCCATTCATCATCTAAGCTGTTAGTGCAAACTTGTAGCAACAAGTTAGTACCTAGTGTCTAATGTTGCCTGGTTCATTGTTGAGTATTTCTTAGTATGGAAAGAAAAACATAGGCTGAGGAAGGAGGATGACAAGTTTAAGACCGTGTCTCAAAAATTTTAAAAGTGAGGTTTGGTGGACATGGGGAATGTAACTCAGAAATAGAATGCTCCTGGATTCAATTTCTAGTACCAAAAAGAAAATCATGCATACAAGAAAATAAATTTTAAGCCTTAGTTTTAGCTATCTATATCCTAAGAAGCTATTCAAGTCCCAAATTCAGAAAAACAGGCACTTTACTTTTACTAACACCTTCATTCTTTTATCTAGTTATATATCACAGTTTTTTAAAATCAACTTAGAAAATGATTAACTCAAAACACAAAACTAAAAGAGAAAATACCCCAGCAGTAAGTATTAACACTGAGCCACTTCTAGTCAGTGATCATTTGGGCTGTGAATTAAATGAAGTTCCATAAGAAGCACAAAAACAACTTACCCCACCTGGATATCACTGAAATAGCAAGAAGTTTTTTAAATTACTGTTTTTTAAGAGTATCCACTCAAATAAATAAATAATGTGTAATATATGTATTATACTTTCTTTACAAAAGAAAATTTGAAAGAAAAAGGAAATGTGGTATGGAATTATTTTCCTCATCCATTTAAGATTAATAAACAACAACAAAAACTCTTCAATATTGGTAGTATCCTTAAATGGAATTAATAAAGTAAACTTAAGTCTTATGGTGATATTATCTAAAATGCAACAGGATAGTCAAGATCATTAATATAAACACATAAATATCCTGAAACAAAGATGGATGAGGCTCTAAGTCATGACTACCTCTTAAGAATCACTCAATAGAAAAAACAGTAATATTCAATAAGTACTCAAAATATAATTTGCAGGGCTCGGGGTATAGCTCAGTGGTAGAGCACTTACCTAGGACAAGCAACGCACACACACAACGTGTGGATTTTGAAACTAACATTTGTTTTATGTAATAAATGTATTCCTAAAAGTTGCATATCTATCTAATAACCATTTAGATACTCAGAAGAACTGCCTACATGCGTCCATCAAGGTGACCACTGTCCCTAAGCAACTTCTTCTTGCAGGCCTTCCTCACCTTGGTCAATGATGGACTACTCTTGGCAAAGAAAGAACAATAGCTAGATCAAAGATAGTCCACTGACCCAAAGGCAGCCCTGAAATTCATTAAGTAACAAAAAAAGTGACAAAAAGTCCCCACCCGGAGATGGCTTCTGAGGTTTGACCAAAAAATAGTGAGTATACACCCAAAAAACCCACTTTTTAAAAGAAATCTTTCATAAATCATTTTGTGACACGAATAGCCACCCCTTATTCTGTCCGGTAAACTCTGGATCCTTTATACTGGGTCTCTGCAACATCTTTTATGGATAGACAGCTGAATGGAATTATTAAAAAAAAAAAAAAAACTGATCCCTACTTCTTACTAGCTATAAAATGATGCACAAGTTCTTTGTGTTTCAATTTCATCTATAAAATACAGATAATAGCAGTCTCTTCTGTAGGACTATATAACCAATTTTAAAGTACATGTGAAAAATAGAACAGCATCTGATACTTTATAATAGCGAATACAAACTATAATTATTTCCAATGTTAAATAAATACACACTGAAGTTTTCTCCTAACTTCCTCATAACTTCAGTCTAGGCCAAAGCATTATCTGATAAAATGTTATTTGGAAATCCATTTGGTTTCCAGGGTTAACAAGGTGGCATTCTTTTAATTCCTCTTGGAGCCTACATATAGAGAACAGCTATACTACAATTGGCCCAAAGGAAAGTTAAGGTTTTGGACATATGTGTATTATATAGCAATAGTAAACTATCTTTTAGAAGTCTTTTCTTTTTTTTTTTTTTCAGAAATTTCGATGGATAAAATTAAAAGGTTTTTATTCTCCAG